CTGAAGGAAGTCCTGTTCCCACTTTACAGCACTGAGAAGAACTGATGGGGTGGCGGGGGCAAGAAGGCAGCCATGACTGGTCAGCCCTGGTGAGAACACTTCGCTCTTTCATGGCTGGTCCCCTTGATAGTAGCACCCAGTTTACAGATCCCATTGGTCAGCATCATGGCACTCCCAAGGCATGGAATTAAATCATGAGGAAAATACCAGGTGGATGGCTTTAGGCCAGGGCCTGAGGGTAGGCACAGATGGTTCAGGTGATCCTGTAATGTCAGCACGGAAAGGAGCTCTGGAGAGGCTGCTATGCTCATCTTCCTGAGGAGGCAACTGGTGCCCTGAAGGGAAAGGGCCTTCCCAAGTGGGGCTCAGGTTCCCACTTCACTTCCCATTTCAAAGCCAGTTTCTGTAAGATTCAGGAGCCTCCCACTCGTGCACCGAGATTATGCCAAAAAAAAAGGGGGGGGCTGTGCAAAAGCAAGGGAACTGGCAGCGTGCAATACTATCCAGAAGCTGGAATGGGGTCACTGGCTTTTCTGAGCCCAGGACCCAGGATGTGTAGGGTAGGCCACCTGGAAAGCTTGGCTGGACTGGAAGCTAAGTCCTCTCTGACACTGAAGTTTAATGGCAACCCTTAAAATTAAAGACAGTGGATGGAAAGAAAGCCTCATAAAACCAGATTCAGTCACACTGTCTCCATCCAGTTCCTCAGTTACTCCTTCTCATGTCAAAGTGTTCATTTTACACGTGTGCTTCCCTTACCTGGAATGCTTCCCCATGGCCTAGTTAGATGGCTTTCAGGTTTCAGCTTACATGTCACTTCCTTGAGGAAACCTCTGGCTACCCCTTACTGAAAATTCAGTCTGTGGTCATAGGCGTGACCACTGACTAAGGTACACCTCCTCCGAGACGACTGTATGCACTTGGACAGGGACAGTTTTTGTGTTTCTTACAACTGTGTCCCCATATCTAGTCCAGCACCAGACAATAGGTACCCAATAAATATTTACCAATTGAATGAATACTGTAGGGAGCCATTCTGATCCCAGGGTAAGACCAATAGTACAACTTTCCCCGAGTTACGTGGCCACTGCCAAGCAATTCTAAAGACGGGTTCACACAAACCACACTGACTCCTAAGCAGCCAAGGTGCCTGCCCTTTTTACTTCCTCCCGAACATGAAAGTACCACGCTAGATTATCAAACCCTAGGGTTTGCTTTAGTGAGGAAGTGAACACCATAGTGGATCACCCGGAGTTTTCACTTTCCATTCAGAGAGCAAGTGGGCTTGTTGACAGGTTACTCGACAAGGAGCAAGCTTCCTGTTTGGGGGGACCATGCTTCTTGGCCCCAGGGGCACAGCCTTCTTGCAAGTCCCTCTGACCTCTCCAAAGGCCCCAGTGGAAGGATGCTTCCCGCCTCCTCTGTGTGCAGAGAACCAAACCCTTCTGACTTGACGGAGGCCCAGAGAGCGCACTTCCAAAGAGGACTCTCCCTAGCGTCCGGGTAGCTGTGAGAACAAAGCACCAGGGCTTGCTGGGCCAGAGGCAGCACCGCGGGCCTTTGCTACTGAGCGATCAGATAGCAGTGAGTGATGAGTTCTAGGTCTCTCCTCGGGTTTACACAGGGACTCCTCAGACGCTGGGAGAGGGAGAAGTGAGCTAGCCGACTCCCCAGCCCAGTACTTAAGTGTCCTCCATCGTGTCCCTTTCTGACAGAGGAGACTTGGTCTAATGTTGCAGGCATCAGGAAGAGTTCATTTCCTGAGTGAGGGCACAAGTAACCAAGTAAATGCTCAGCAAAACAGGATAGCCTCTTGAAATGTGTAACAGGCTGCCTCGGGGAACAGGGGTGGGAGGGGAGCTTTTCACTGTCATCTTTTGTACCTTTTAGTTTTTGAATCATAGAAGTATTATCTAGTCAAAATATTTTAATTTAAATACACTGAGCTTGCCACTTTCCTGGGGGTGGGGGTGGGGAATCCTCTTGTTCTCAAAGTACAATATGTGTAAGTCTGACCTAGACATTGGCATCACCTGTCAAAGCGGGCCTTTTCCTCCCTTGGAACCAGGCTTGGCAGATCTCTTTAACCCGTGCTCTCAAGCAGCAATGCTCACACGGATCACCTAGGAATCTTCCTGAAACAGGTTCTGATGTAGGAGAAGGGAGGGGCCCACGACTGCCATCTCCAACAAGCTCCCAGGGGAGGCCGCTGGGCCACACTTGAAGTAGAGAGGCTCTACAGCCACTAGGGGGCAAGCAGCACCATTCTGCAGGGTGGGGGCGGGATGGAGTGGGCGAGGAAGGAGAGGCTGGGGTGAGGGGCGAGGGCCTCCCTAGTAACAACTGCTTCCACCTGCCACGTGAGTGCCACCTATTGTAATCAGCAGCCCTTCAGACCCAGCCTTTGAGGAGAAAGGGAGGGGGGCCAGGTAGGGTCACCCAGCTGCACAGAACTGCAAGAGATAGGCACAGGCGCATAATCTCCCATTTCGGTGAGACACTATGCCCAAGGCCTCCTGAAACTGGGCAGGCAGACTGGAGCAGAGGCCTCCCTGCCTCCCCTTCCCCACCTTAGCTGGAAGCCCTCGAGGCTGCATCTCCCCGCAAGGGCCAGCTGCCTCCTTACACATCCAGTCCTTTCCTCGTGGCCTCCTTGGCCACCTTTTTTATCCCTGAGGGCAAGGCCAGATGTCCCCGTGGATGTTAGCCAAAGTCTTTCTCTGAGGAGCCAGGGATCTCAACAGGGATTGCGAAAGTCTCAGCTAGAGGCTGGAGGAAGGCCAGGCCAGTCGAGGCTGGTTGTGATGTCTACTGGCTCTGGAGGGAGTTACATGTGTGCTCTCCCCGCCCCGGCCCCCACCCCCGAGGGCCAGGTCAGCGTCTCATTTAAGCATCTCTTGGATGGGGCACAGCCTACAGCAAATAATGTGTATCGTGTGAATGAACGAATGAATGAATGAACAAACTAGGTTCTCAGAAAAATGAAAACACTCTAGTACCACCCAGGCCGGCGGCCATCCCCCACTTGGCTCTCCAAGGCCTCCTCTTGCAGATCGGAGCCACTCTGGCCGCTAGGAGGCTCCCCTGCCCCAGCCACAGCCACACACACAGCACGCCCAGCACAAAGCCCACAGCAGGATCCCAGGCAAACACAAGACACTGCTCAGTTCAGAGCTGCAGGTGGTTCAGCCCCAACATCTTCACCAGATCTGCTCTCAGCTGACACCTCTGGCTATGCGTCCACAGTCTGCAGGTTCTGTAGCTGCTCCACATTCACCTCTCCCTTCCCCAGGTGGCCAGACCTGCGTGTGGATGGGCGGGGGGGGGCACATAGAGGACAATCGGGAACCCTGAGAACAGGGACGGCTGCCCTAAAGGCAGAGCCCACCCGCAGCGCATCCAGAGAGGGGCCGTCCAGAGGATCCCCCCCACCCCCGGCCACAGCCTGGCCGCGTGCGGATGCTCGGGTTGGGGTCTCTGGGGCCGTAGTGAGCAGCTGCCACTGTGGTGGTGCCCAAAGGGCACCCAGAGCCCCCACAGCAACAGCAACAGGCAAGGAAAGCATCTGATTGGGGGCAGCAGAATGGGCTTGATGAGGCAGAAAAACCTGATGGAGAAGAACTGGATCTCAGAGACTTACTGCCTGTGTTCAAATCCCAGCTCTGCCACGTATTAGCTGTGACTTGAGCAAGTTACTTAACCTTCCTTGCCTCCATTTCCTTGTTAGAAGAGGGACGGTTAGTGTGCCCCCCAGTAAGTTGCCGGAACGAGTTCATACATACAAAGAGCTCGGAGAAGTGGCAGCAGAGTAAGCCTGAGGGAATGGTGGTACCGCTGGGAGTGCACAGCAAGCGGGCGGCCTTGTGGTCACTTGGGGGCATGGAGGGAATACCAGGCTAAAGCGCCCCTCTCCACACAGTCCAGCGTGGGTGGGCTCTCCTGGGTCCTGGACGTCCTGCCTCGTAGCCAGGTCACCCTGGAGCAGGCAGGAGAGGAGAGGCCCATGCCATCTCTGCAAGGCTCATCCCGGGGTCCTCTGCCCCACAGCCCCTCACCTGGGGGTCTGGAGGTGCTGCTGGCCGGCACAGCCTTTCCCCTTCCCGGCGCCGCCTCCGAGATGCGCCTCAGGCTGCCCCCCGGCCTCCTCTGCCTCTGGGGTCCCGCCCTGCTGCGAGGGCTCTGCCAGCCCCGGGAGGACCTGGAGGATTCTGGGCAGGACAGGACCCAGTTAACCCTGGCCTGCAGAGCCCAGCGGGGGTGAGGGGGGGCACCCCCTCCCTCCAGCCATGGAGTGATGAGGCCTTCGTCAGGGTCAGGGTTAAGGGCTCAGCCTGCCTCAGGGCCGGTTCAGTCCAGGGAATGATGTGTTGTGGTGGGGACAACGGAGTGCCCGTGCCCATCCGGAGCCCACCATCTGCAATCCCCCTTCTGATCCCAGCTCTTCCAGAACGGCTGGGCCAGAGCCCCTTTCCCCTTGCAATATGCCCACAGACCTCTGGATTTCCCACTTACACTGTGTTCTGCTGCTATGAATACACACATAACACACCACCAAGCTCACGGCCCAAAAGAGCCTGGAAATAGACCCCCACAGTAAAAAACAAGAAATCCGTCTTTTTCTTCCCTTACCACTCCAGCGTCCCTTAACCCCAGTCCACCAGGAATACCATGTCCAAGAATCCTAAAATTTAAGTGCTCAAAAGCTCACAGAGAGAGAAACTGAGGCCCAAGGAAGCCTGGGGGGGATTGTGTGAAGTCACATGGTAGATAGTGGCAGAGTCAGGCTGGGAAACCAAGTCTCCTGCCCATCCTAGGCAGGCCTTGTTTTCTGCAGCTGCTGTGGGGCAACATCCAGCTCGGTAAAGCAGGTTCTCCAAACATCCCACCTTCCGCCGCCCTTCCAGGGGGCGCTCCCAACGGTTCAGCCCTGCCTCCCTCCACACCCCAAGCACCACCATCCAACCAGGGTAAAGTTTCTAGTTCGGGGATGGGAAGGCTGGTCAAGGGGGCTCCTCAAGGGTCCCCTCACACTGCTGGGGAGGAAGCATCACTGACCTCACTTCCTCGTACTTCTTGTCTCGGTAAAAGTGGCTCTTCTTGATGAAGTAGATAAGTACCAGGTCACAGAAGAAAGCCCCCTGCAGCAAAAGAGTTGGGGTTCCTGACTCAGAATCCTAGACATCCAGAAAGCAGCCTGCCACTTGACACATAGGGCATCCCGTCTGATCTTGCACCAACACCTAAGGGGCATCATTGTCCCCCAATTAACAGATGAGGAAACTGGGCTCAGCAGGAGGCACCTTTGTCAAAGGCCACAAAGCTGGTTCATAGTAGAGCCAAAGTTAGCCTGGGGCCCATCTGCTCTATCAGGCCAAGCACCCCCTGCACTACCCTGACCCCACTCAATCCTGTCTTCAGTGAATGTCTGCTGAGCACTCACCATGTGCCCGTCACTGCACTGGGGTGCAGGAGGATTAGACAATGAGACCCTGTGGGGACTGTCCCTCTGGTGCAGGAGACAAGCATGTAGATTATGACAGTGACATACCCTATGATGAGGACAGGAGCAAGGAAGCAGAGAGAAGACAGGACTTCGCTCAGCCTGGGGATGGATATCTGGGCTGAGTCTTGAGGGTTGAATGGAATTTATACACAAAAAAAGGAAAGGAGAGGAAAAGAAAAGGAAAGGAAAGAAAAAAAAAAAAGAAAAGAAAAAGCCAGCCAGCCCAGGAAGGGCATTGCCCAGGTAGCAAAGGACATCCCACAGGGCCTGTGTTGCAAAAGTGAGAGACACTTCTGGAGAGGGGGGATGGGGACCAGCTGGTCAATTTTCTTACAATGCCTTTGAGGCCTCGGTCCTAATCCCTTAGGGAAAGACACTGAAGGGCCTTGCATAGGGGTGATGCATTTTAGAAAGGCGGGTTGGTCCCTTCAGTAGTCACTTTGAGAGATGGACTGGAGGGGACCTAAAGAACAAGGCCGACAGGGGTGGTCAAGGAAAGATGGATCCAGCTGGGACCCACCAACAGCCGTTCACAGGAGCCTCCAACCAGAGGGCATGGGGCAAATCATAGAGGGCCCCTCCGCCCACAGCCCTGCGGGCAGGGGTGTGTCCTGCAGGGCTGAGGAGGTGGTGAGGGCGTCTGGGGGCTAAGGGACGGGCTCATAGGTGAACCCGGGCCTCTGACTCTGGGTACTTCACGGATCTCCCCCTGCTCCCCACTGAGGTGCCCAAATGTTACTTATCACTTCCCTGTTGCACAGAGAACATTCCTCCACCCAATCTGCATCCACACCACTTGCCCTGTCTTCTTTATTCCACATGTGCGGACCCCAGGCCCTTGTGTCTGACTTACCCACAGCATGAGGAAGTAATACTGACAGAGGCCCAGCTCTAAGGACGTCACAGAAGCAAACGTGCAGGGCTCCCTAACAATGCTGCTTCGCAGTAAAAAGGACTCATTTGGGGCTCACTTTCATCCACCACCTCTCAGGAGAATATGGCCTTGCCGCATCCTGTTCCCCTGGTCTTAAGAAAAAGGCCACGCCAGGTCCTGCCGGAAGCTTCCAACAGGGCAAAGAGGACGAGGCTGCCGGAAACCCTGGCAAGGAGCTTGCCGGGAGGGGCACGAGCCATGACAGCTCCCATGGCTTTAAGAAGCTTCCAGAAGAACAAGGGGGCACGACAAGAGATTTGGAGGAAAACTTTGCCTACCCTCCAGCAAGTACTTCCTCTCTGGTGAGCCCCCTGGGCTCAGCTGAAGGGACAGATCTGAGGGAGGACTGCAGCCTGACTTCCCTGCTGCTCGTCTTTCAGCCCTGTGGCCTTCAACGGGGCTGCGTGCGGTGTATGTCCCCTCCTGAGGCTGGGCAGGCCCGGGGTGGGGCATGCTGGAGTCCCTGGAAGCCTGCTGTCCACCCGTCCCATGTTCACCCTGCTTTGTTTTTGCTCCCCAGGAGACAGGCAATTTCTGGAGACGTTTTTGGTTGGGGAAGAAGGCAGTGCAGGCATCTAGTGAGTAGAGGTGCCCAGCGCCATGTTGTTAAACATCCTAGAGGGCACAGAGGGCCCCACAGAAAAAAGAATTCTCTGGCCCAAAATGTCAACAGGGACAGCTGAGAAACCCTGTAGATAGCTGGGTCCCGTCTCTTTTCAGCAGCAGCACAGATGAGGCTTTGGAAGTTCAGGGACTGACCCCGGATCCTAGAGAAGCCCAGCCCTGCCCCCAGCGCCAGAGCGCCAGGCAGATGGCTCTCTGGCTCTGGAAACAGAAACTCGGGCAGTCACTGCCACCTGGGGGCTGCTGACAGGTGTCAGGTCCCAGAAAGCCTGACCTGCATCCCACCGACCTCGCCTGCTCTTGTTCTTTCTGCAACATCAGGACAGCACCTCCCGAGCGATCCCCCCACCCCCAGGCCAGTGCTCAGAGGGTAAAGGTGAAGGGGGGGCAGTACTCACAGCACCCATGAGCGCCACCCCAGAGCCAATGTTGACGACCGTGGGGATGAGGCTGAACTTCCCTGCCTGTAGCACAGAGAAACAAAGCAGGGTGAACATGGGACGGGTGGACAGCAGGCTTCCAAGGGACTCCAACATGCCCCACCCCGGGCCTGCCCAGCCTCAGGAGGGGACATACACTGCACACACCTTGCCATTCACCATCACATCAAAGCGGATCCCATAGGCTTTCATCAGGGTGCGGAACTCCACTCCAGCAGCATCTCGGTAATATTTGGCAAACCTAGGGGAGACCTCCCCTGCTTGGCAACACATACTTGGCTGCTTTGGAGATTTATAAGCACCCCCCAAGACCCTGCTCTTAGCAGCCTTGGGGGAGGTTATAGATCCTCTTGCCAACATTACGGTAAAGATTCATCCAGATCTTTGAAATCCTTACAGACATTCCCTAAGAGGCAAGGGCTTTCCCACTATATGCTGGGCCAACCCAGGGCCACCAAAGCACTGAGGGAGGAGACCTGGTTAAGAAGCCAAGCCTCAGCTTCCTGGTGAGCCCACAGGGTGACAAAAACTTCTCTCCTCTCCCAGAGATGCTCCCCCCCCTTCAATCCCTCACCTCTCCTCAGCTCTTTCTCCCTATACCTCCCACTCTAATATCCACCCCCAATAAGGGGTGTCAGAGTGCTGGCACCCAGAAGAGGACAAAATGTGGACAGGGTAACAAGACAGCAAGTCTAGCCCCACTTACCTGAAGTTGTACCCAGAGGAGATTGAGTTTTCTGAAAATTTGTTGTCCAGACGGCTAAAAGAATAGTGAGGGTTGCATTCAGAAGGAGCTTTATCAAGATCACAATCCCATTCAATCTGAATTCCTATCACACCACCCTGATGAAGAAGAGACAAGAATCAGTGCACAGAACTTTGTGGAGTGGACAGAAGGCACAAACCAGCTCCTCACAGGAAGCTGGACAAGATGGGAAAAGTACTCAGGCCAAGGGTCAGCCCCCCTGAAGCATCCTTCCAGGAAGAAGGTGGAAGTTCCAGGGTCCTAGCCCCACCTTTGGAGTGGCTGAGGAAAGCACATCGCCGAGAGCGCCCAACCCCAGAACGCTCCTGTTTCATTATTCCGTGAGCGAGCACCTACAAAGGGATGGGCACCTCACACAAGAGCCAGGGTATGCCAATGAGGTTCCCTCTGGCTCAGTTTCAACGGATGCCCCAAGGACTGAGAACCAACAGCAGGGGCTCAGCGTGCCTCCCACTGATGCCTGAGTTCTGACAGACTGTGTGTCATAGCTAATTCTGAAGACAGTGAGTCCCTGGGGCAGGGAGCTTTGTCCATCCCACCCCACAGGTCCCCCTACTCACCATCCTCTTCGTGACAGAGCCCAGACCCAGAGCTCTTAGGCCCCCTGGCCCCCGGGCACGGTGCCCTGAGTGCACGCCACTCACCTGCACAGCTATCTCCTGGAAGTTGCTCCCCGTCCAGCTGACCACAGACCCCAGTCGGAAGATGGGGCAGTAGGGGTTCTTGGGGCCAAACTGACAGGATTTCAGGAAAGATCTGTCATTGGTGTCCAGCACATTGGTCCTGGATAGAGGCCACAAACAGACAGTGAAATGAAGCTGAGACTTGCCGTTCCCAGGCCAGAGACAGCCTGGCCCAGGAGTCGCTGGGCTTTTACCTGGCCCAGGCTGAGTCCCTGACTTTAGCCTCGACTCAAGTCCTGACTACTCCCCCTCAGCACACCCCACTAACCTATTGCATTCAAGGACAGAACCCCACTCCCACAGCAAGGGGAAGGGGTGCTCCAGCATCACCTGGTGGTTCATTCACATACACCTCCACACCATGCACACAGGCCCACGCACAGTGACAAGGAGGCAGATCCCCAGGAACCAAGTCCCACGTACTTGGAGAAGTTGAATTTGGGGAAACGAATGAAGTTCTTTATGTAAATGGTGAAGTCTTCAGCCTTGCCCAGCAGTGGCTTCCTGAAAATGAAGCCGGGACAGCCTGTCCAGGAGGCCCTGCCCCTGCTCCCTCTGTACATCCCCCCAGGCCTGTGGCAGTGCTGGGGCTGGCCCGCTCCCTGCAGCCCCTGGAGCCTTTGCCAAAGACCATTCATTTGCTCATGTTGGGGTGGTCCTAGGGCTTGGTAGGGTGTCCTCGGAAAGAGGATCTCAGGGTAGACGTGTCTCCACCATCAGGCTGAGACCCACTCACTGCCCAGGTAGCTCTTCTGGGTCCTGAGGCTGGAGCCACTCACACTGGTCTGGGCTTTGTCTCCACGGGGCACCAGGCGAACACCTCACAGGTGCCCCTTTGCATGCTGCCCACCCGCAGGCAGCGGCCAGTCTTCACTCCTGTAGGATTGGGGCAGAGATGATGCTAGAAGCCTCCTGGCTCCATCCCCCACTGTGCTCCCAGCCCTGACCATTCCAGGCCTCACCATTTCCAGCCACAACAGGCTCCCCAGGGGGACAGTCATTATCTGTGTAGCACCAGGCATCCGGAATGCTTTCGCTCTGTCAGAAAGAAAGGGCACCTGGGTGGGGGAACTTCCCTGCAGGGGCCCCAGTTCAGAACCATGTCCCACCCCAGGAATCAGGACAGGGATTCCTCCCCTGAGTGGAATTCCTCCCACACACCCTTTGAGAACCTGCTTCTCTCCCCCAAACACTGCAGGTACGTGCTCTGGTACACATATCCCCTGGAGCACTTCGAGGGGGTAGAAACCCCTGCTTCAGGAGAAGGGTAGACCCCAACCACTGCTGGAGGCTCTCGCACCCCCTTCCCCGCTTTCTGCACCACATCAAACCTCAGCACAGGTTTCCTGACGCTGGTTGGCGGTCACGATCAAGTTGGTGACTACGAAGAAGACGTTCTCTCCCTGAGGAGCCAGAGAGGAGTTGAGGGACATCCTCCTGCCCTCTTGGGGACCCTCCTCCCCAGGGCTTCCTGGCAAGGGTTGGATCTCTGCATGGGTGTTGAGGACAACGGGGCCACAAAATCAGTGGATCCTACCTATCTGCCCACTGACTTTGAAGTCTCTGAGCAGACATCCTTTGATAGGTCCCTTTCAGGCCCACAATCCCAAACTGCTCCCTCCATGAATTCTTATTCTGACCTCAGTCCCTGGGATCCAAGCCCAGATCTGGGAGAAGAGGCCCAGACAGGGTGGCCCAGGCCCTGGCCCAGGCCAGTTGTGAGCAGGCCAGGGAGCCATTCCCAAGGGCAGCCAGTGGCTAACACAAGGAAGCAGTGCTCTGTGCCAGGCCACCTGACTCACACTGACCTGAATGTTCTTGGGGCCCCATTTGGTTTCTACAGGCTTGGGGCTTATTGGGAAGGGACGGGTCTCACAGGCACAGTCAAGGAAAGCAGGGGGTCGGTGTGGAGGGAAGGCTCCAGGCAGGGTCTCCATCTGCAAACTCTGGCAGCTGTCCTGGGCCAAGGGAGTCTCTAGGTACCTGAGCACCTTCCTATGTGACCCCCCCGCCAAGCCAGGCCCTGCTAGCCCGGGCCCTAGTGCTGTATGGGACTCAAACCTGGGGTGGGATGACATAGTCGGCAACATCCCAGAGCCGCTCCCCGAGCTCAGATGTGTTGGTGAAGGTCACACCCTTGACTTTGGTGACAATGCTGCTCTGCAGGGAGGTGTCAGTGTCTTGGTAACCCTTCTTCACCAGGAACACCCAGCTACAGGGAAAGGGTCAACAGGTGGGCATCAGCCTCATTGCTGTCCTCAGGGAATTTTCCCAGGGGCTTCACCTTTCCCACCAGCTCCTGGGCAGGGGTCAAAACTCCACTGCTGCCTAAAACCTGGTTCTGCAAGCAGCAGAGGTGACAAGCAATCCCAGAACAGGGAGACAGCTACTCTCAGAGGGTGAGGCCCTGAAAATGGCCCAGGTTGGGCCAAAACCTGCTCACGCATGCACTGGGGATGTGACCTCGGGAGAGGCAATGAACTCTGGGAGTTAACACAGGGTAACAGTGCCTCCCCCAGGGATGTGAGGACAGTTAAAGGAGATGGTACATAACCTGAAACTATTCACGGACAGACCGCAGACAAATCCAAACTAAGGGGCATTCTGCAAAATGAGAGTACGAATCCTACATTCTTTGACACCCCAAACACACACAATAAAAGAAAAAATAGATAAGTGGAACTTCATCAAAATTAAAAACTTTTGTGCAAAAAAAAAATAAAAAATAAAAACTTTTGTGCATCAAAAGACACTATCAAGAAAGTGAAAAAATAATGCACAGAATGGGAGAAAATATTTGCAAGTCACATGGTCAGGGTCTAGTGCCCAGAATATATAAAGAACTCCTACAACTCAGCAATGAAAAAGACAAATAACCCAATTTAAAAATGGGCCAAGGATTTGAGTAGACATCTTCTCCAAAGAAGATAAACAGACGGCCAATAAGCCCATGAAAAGATGCTCAATGTCATTAGGCATCAAGGAAATGAAAATCAGAACCACAAAGAGATACTACTTCACACCGAATAAGATGGCTGTAATTAAAAAAATATATAAAAGAAAATAACAAGTGCTGGTGAGGATGCAGAGAAACTGGGACTCACTGATAAGAATGTAAAATGGTGCAGCTGCTGTGGGAAACAGCTGGTAGGTGACCCAGCAACTTCCTGCCAAAATATATACCCAAGAGAACCGAAAACATATCCACACAAATACTTGTAATGAATGTTCTTAGTAATGTTATTTGTGACAGCCAAAAAGCAGAAACAGGTGCGCCTGGGTGGCTCAGTTGGTTAAGCGTCTGCCTTCAGCTCAGGTCATGATCCCAGGGTCCTGGGATCGAGTCCCACATAGGGTTCCTTGCTCCACAGGGAGCCCGCTTCTCCCTCTGCCCCTCCCCCACTCATGCTATCTCTCTTTCTCAAATCAATAAATAAAATCTTTAAAAAAAAGGTAGAAACAGTCCAAATGTCTGTCAACAGATGAATGGATAAACAAAATGTAGGTATTATTCAGCCATAAAAGCAATGAAGTACTGATTCACGCTATAGCATGGATAAACCTTGAAAACATTATGTTAAGTGAAGAAGCCAGACCAAAAAAATGTTGTATGATTTGATTTATATGAAATGTCCAGAAGAGGTAAATCTACAGAGACAGAAAGTACATTAGTGGTTGCCAAGGGATGGGGTAGGGGAGAATTCCGACTGCTAATAGACATGGGTTTCTTTTTAGGGTGATGGAAATGTTCTGAAATAAGACAGTGGTGATAGTTGTACAACATTATGAATGTACTAAAAACTACTGAATAGTATAATTTTAAATAGTTGAAATGGTGAATTACATGCTAGGTAAATTTTACTTCAATTAAAAAGTTGTAATAAAATAAAAATCCTGTACTTTTCAAAAAACATCAGTGTCAGAAAATACAAAGAGTCTCGGGTACAATTCCAGATTAAAGGAGACTAAGAAGACAAAATGAATGAATGAATGCAAGGCAGGATTTCAGATATATATATATTTTTTGCTATTAAATGTAATTATTAGAGCAATTTACAAGAGGCCATAAGTTAGAAAATAATATTGTTTCAGTGTTAATTACCTAATTTTCATAGCTGTACTTGGTTAAATAAGAGAATTCCTTGGTTTTAAGAAATATGCACTGAAGTCTTTAGTAGTAGAGGGGCATAATGTCTGCAACTTACTCTTTTTTAAAAAAGAGTTATTTATTTATTTGTTTGTTTATTTATTTCAGAGAGAGAGTGCTCGTGGGGGCAGAGGGAGAGGGAGAGAGAGAGAAGCAGACTCCCCGATGATCAGATCTCACACCCGCAGACCATGACCTGAGCCGAAATCAAGAGCCAGACGCTCAACCGGCTGAGCCACCCAGGCGCCCCTGCAACTTACCCTTAAACAGAAAAAATTGCATATACACACACATCATGTGTATGTGGGGAAAGAAAAGGGAAAGGACAACACAAATGTAGTAAAATGTTAACATCTGGGGAATCTAGGTGAAGGACATTTTAAAAAGTTTGTACTACTCCTGTCACTTTTCTGTAAGTCTAAAATTTTGTTGAAATACAAAAAAAAAATTTTTTTTAATGAGATGGCACATGTAAATTGCTAAGCACAGTGAGTGCTGGGCCACGGAAGAACTCAAAATAGGCTCTAACCAGCCTATTGTTGACGTTTACTGTTAAGGTTAGAGATCGTCCAGGGCGCCTGGGTGGCTCAGTTGGTTAAGCGACTGCCTTCGGCTCAGGTCATGATCCTGGAGTCCTCGGATCGAGTCCTGCATCAGGCTCCCTGCTCAGCAGGGAGTCTGCTTCTCCCTCTGACCCTCCCCCCCTCATGTGCTCTCTCTCTCTCTCATTCTCTCTCTTTCAAGTAAATAAATAAATAAATCTTTAAAAAAAAAAAAAAGGTTAGAGATCATCCAGGTTAACCCCTTGGGAAAGCTGGGAAAACAGAGTCCAGGAGAGGGCCGGAAGCTGCCTGCCTGAGGTCATGCAGGAGTGGCAGGGGGTGCCCCGCACCTCCCAGCATGCCAGTAAGGGTTCTTTGTATAGCAGGAGCCAACCAAGATGTGCCCACTCGCTTCATCTCTGGGGCAGACCTGCTACATCCTAGGCCCTAAACTCTCCTGTCCCCAAGGAAGCCTGAGATGGCTGTGACAATGAGTCAACCAGCCATTTAGTAGGGACACTGGGCCCAGTCTGGACAGGAACATTCAGCAAATGCCAAGGAACAACGCGCATTCATTCATTCATTTCACACCTACTTCCTAAGCAGTTAGGTGATGCCAGGCCCTGTGTGCCTTCATGGTGTCCCCCCCACTGGACGGGAGGCAGACAAGCAAACGATCCCTACGGAATATATCAGAGGAGTTATTCAAGAACCTGGGTCTGAAGGACAAGTGGGCTTTAACCAAGTAGAGGAGTAAAGGCGCGCCTGGCTGAGGACCAACATGTACAAAGGCCCTGGGGTGGGAGGCATTCAGGTTCCTTAGGAATGAAGCTCCATGGGCACTGCCCTCCTAGTGAGGTCAGGGGGCCCAGTCAGGAAATAGGAGGGACTCAACAGCATTTACTGAGGCAGTGAAAGAGGCACATCAGCCTCCTACTCATTTGGTGTCATTTCCTCCTTCCACCTGTCCCTCCCTTCTTGGGGGGGGGGGCTCTGAACAGTGCCTGGTTGAGCATCTCCAAGGAGCTGCCCCCTCCCCTGACGGTGGGAGGGGTTAAAGGTGAGGCAGACAGTCCAGCTGGGAGCGGGGTAGTGGGCCTCCGAGCAGCACCCCTAGCAGGATACCAGAGAAGCCAGCCAGGGGTGGGGTGAGTTGACAGAAGGGAGTGCTGAGACATGCCAGGCTGAGGAGCTGCCCCAGCCAGGAGCCTGGCACATGAGCTCGGTGTTTATAAATAACCCACCCGGTGCCCGGGCCTGCACCAGGCCAACGGACCAGGGAGGCTCCCAGGGCAACAGCTGGAGCCCAGCCCCCCTGCGTCTTTGCCCCCCTCGATGGCCCTAACACTCAGAGCTCGGCCCGAAGGAAGGAGCAGCCCACCGAGAGCCTCATAAATGAAGGAAAGCTGAAGTCCCTGCCCGCGGCTCAGCACCTGCAGAGCCGGTGGGGAACCAGAGGGCTCCCCCTTGACCTACCCACTCTTACACCCAAGAGCCCCTTCCCAAGCACAGGGAACGCACGTCCAGTTCCCGGGCCCCGGAAGGGCACAGGGCGGCCCAGAGCCTCCCTCCCCCCCCCCCGCCCCACTCCCCGAAAGCCCCCGGAGAACTCACACCACCAGGTAGGTCAGGATGGAGACCTGCAGCAGCCGGTAGAGCAGGCCCACCTTCTTGTTCTTGGCGATGACGTACTTCTCGGTCTTGTAGTCGAACAGCGACTGGGAGAGCCCCTTGCAGCCCGCCTGCCCCATGGCGCTGGCTCACCTGCGCCCGCTCCCCGCCGGCTCCCCGCGCGCTCCGCGCCGGCCCCAGGCCGCTGGGCACTGCGGCTCCCGGGGGCGCGGCTCCAACGCGCAGGGTCGCCGGGCCGGGCGCGCGGGGGCGCGGGCCGCTGCCGGCGACGCTGCGGAAGCCGCCGCTGGGGGCCGGGGGCGGAGGGTGGCGGTGCCCGGCCTCAGCTGCGACCTGGCCGCCGCCTCTCCCTCTCCCTCCTCCCCTGCGGAGGACACGCCTATGAGGGCCTTCCTGAGGCGCAGGGCCGCAAGTGCGGCCCCCCAGCCGGAAATCAGAAATCGGGCGCTGGAGGAGCAGGGGCGAGGGGATGAGAGTAGGAAGGGCTGCTTTTCAAGCAACCCCACTTTTTCTACTCCCAAAGCAATACTGGGGTGGGGGTTGGATAGATTGAATAAATGGGGAAACTGAGGCCAGGGGAGGGCGGGACCTACAACTGAGGCCAGGGGAGGGCGGGACCTACCACACAGGAAATGAAGAGAGGGTAAAGACCGTTTGTAGGCAAACACCCCGGGTTTGATTTTTCCTGCTCTCTGGGGGACCCTGCTTCTCACCACACAGGCTGAGAGAGACTGAAGACTTGCCTGATCCGTGGCTCCTGTGTCCTCTGTGAATCAGTGGATGTCCCTACAGGGGCAGTTGCTGCTCGCTTAAAACCAAACGCTCCCAGGGAGTCAGTTGCCAAGCAGGTCCCAGCGCCCACAGCATGAAGACCTCTGTACCAGATCTGGGACAGACAGATGGGTTGGGGCTGCAGAGATGTAGGCAGAATCACAAAATATGCCTGGAGGGAGTTCAAACCAACTGTCTGAAATGTTCCCAAAGCAAGAGATGCGCCTAATCTAGGGTGCTAAAACTGCACCCTCCTCGCAGCAGGTGAAATTAAATGAGAGGGCATGGGCACTGGGATGAAGGAGGGCATCTCTGAGATCAGTTTTAGAACTTGTGACAGCCACGGAGAGGCAGGCCCTGTGAGTTTCTGCATCCGGCCATCTGACCAGAAGCGGTCCTGCTCCTCTCTCTACCCAGGCCTTCACATACATAGAGTTCCCCTCCCTGAACCACAGGCGCCAGGGATTAGAAGGGTCCCAAAAGTTCACCAAGGTGAACTTTCTCTAAAAGTAAAAGCTGCAGGGCGCCTGGGTGGCTCAGTTGGTTAAGCAACTGCCTTCGGCTCAGGTCATGATCCTGGAGTCCCGGGATCGAGTCCCACATCGGGCTTCCTGCTCAGCAGGGAGTCTGCTTCTCCCTCTGACCCTCTTTCATTCTCTCTCTCAAATAAATAAATAAAATCTTAAAAAAAAAAAAAAGTAAAAGCTACAGGGCAGTAGGTGTCCAGTTTTAGTGTGCATGGGAATCATTTGGAAGAAAAATGCAAATCCCTGTGCCCTGCCCCTTATATTTTCATTCCATAAGTCTAGGATGGGGCCTGGGGATCTGTATTTTGCTCTCAGACTGTCATTTGGGAAGCACAGATCTTTGCATCTTTTCATCAAATTCAAATGCCATTTTCTCAAAAGGTGTATTCTTGTTACCACCCCCCCAAAATTGGTCCCCACCCCAGTCACTTTCTATCCCATTACCCCTTCTGATTCCCTGAAAACACTTGTCATTCTTGGATAGGATCTTGTTTACTTATTTTTTTTTTTTTTAAGATTTTATTTGACAGAGACACAGCGAGAGAGGGAACACAAGCAGGGGGAGTGGGAGAGGGAGAAGCAGGCTTCCCGCCGGAGCAGGGAGCCCGATGCAGGGCTCGATTCCAGGACCCTGGGATCACGACCTGAGCCACCCAGGCGCCCCTGCAACTTACCAGAAGATAAACAGACGGCCAATAAGCCCATGAAAAGATGCTCAATGTCATTAGGCATCAAGGAAATGAAAATCAGAACCACAAAGAGATACTACT